GCGCATGTCGACAGTCACTTCTTTATCCTGTACAATGAACAGATCTCTTGTTCAGTCGCTCCTGCTTGTTCTATCCCCCCCCCTCTCCCTCTCTCTCTCTCTCTCTCTCTCTCTCTCTCTCTCTCTCTCTCTCTCTCTCTCTCTCTCTCTCTCTCTCTCTCTCTCTCTCTCTCTCTCAGGTCGGGTCTCTCTCTCTCTCGTCTCTCTCTCTCTCTCTCAGCTCTCTCGTCTCCTCTCCTCTCTCTCTCTCTTTCCTCCCTTTTGCTAACCATCATTTCAACAAGTATAACAATCATAGTATTATACACACACAATGTCCGTTTTGTGTATTTACGCGTTCTCAGAATAACGCACAAGACAATATAAAGTACCCCTACACATGTACACATCGCCCTATTACGTTTATTGAACGCGTTCTTAGTAAAAATACTTACCAAGATATACTGTCAAAATAGACCGCACATGTACACCTCAATAAACGACGTACACAACCTTTGCTACACGTTCATGGCTGTTTTCCTTGAATAAAACGCACACACGGATTTATAGCGCACATTTATACACCCCACCGCAAAGAGAGAACTGAATTTACAGAGGAGAATGGGGGGGGTGAGGGGGGAGGGGGGAAGAGGCAAGGGGGCGTGTGCATTACGCGTGTGAACTTCGGGTGTGCGTTTTTTCCCCCGCCGTTCAGCGTACATATATTGTTCATTTACGTTATTTTGTCTAATTGTTAGATAAATTTACATGTACGAATTCGCGAGCTAGAATTTACGTAATCTTCGAAGACACGCACACACAGCACACACAAGCGCGCGGGGAGGGGAGGTATACAAAGCGCACATGGACAGAATACACACAAAAAAAAAACGTACAACGTACATGAGAAATGAAGGTGAGTTGCCAACCTAGTCCCATTTTGACGAAGGGAAGAAGGCAGTGGAGACAGGACGTGACCCGATTTTTATCCGCAATTATTCTAAAACTGATCGAGCATTCCACTGTTTGTCTTCGCCGGAATAGAGAAACATAGCGAAGGTGGATAGGAAGAGGAAAGAACGCCGATAAACGGGGTCTAGGAGAGAAAATGGAGAAAATATGGGATGGGCGCTGTTGCCAGAAGTCGTAGGCAGGTAATAAAAAAGACTCTCCTTGGCATTGCTGCTAATATTAAAGTTTGCTATTTTTTTTGTCTTTCTTGCTCATCTCTCTCTCTCTCTCTCTCTTCTCTCTCCTGTGTCCTCTCTTTCCCGTCGCTGTCTCTATCTATCTCTCTTGTCCTCGGTCTCTGTCTGTCGTCTCTCTCTTCCTCCTTCTCAGGCTCTCCCTCCCTCTCCTCTCTCTCTCTCTCCCCTCTCTCACTCACTAGAGCATCTCTCTCTCTCTCTCTCCTTCCTTCTTTCCCTTTATAATTTCCCCTTCCTCCCTCGTCCCCTCCTTTCCCCCCTCTTTCCCTCTCCCCTTCTTCCTTTTCTTTCTTTCTCTCTCTCTCTCTCTCTCGGGGGTCTCTCTCTCTCCTCTCCTCTCTCTCTTCTCTCTCTCTCTCTCTCTCTCTCTCTCCTCTCTTTCCTCTTTCTCTACCTCTCTCTTCTCTCTGACCTCTCATCTGCTTTCCTCTCTCTCTCTATCTCTCGATCTCCTCTCTCTCTCTCTCCTCTCTCTGCGTCTCTCTCTCTACCTCTCCATCTCTCTCTCTCTACTCTCTCTCCTCATCTTCCTCTCTCTCTCTCTCTCACTCCTCTCTCTTCATCTCTCTCTCCTCTCGCTCATCTCCTCTCTCTCTCTCTCTCTCTCTACCTCTCTCTCCTCTCTCTTCCTCTCTCTCTCCTCTCTCTTACTCTCTCAATCTCTCTACCTCTCTCAATCTCATCACCTCTCTCAATCGCTCTCGCTCTCTCAATCTCTCTCTCCTCTCCTCTCCTCTCTCTACATCTCTCTCTACCTCGTCTCTACTCTCTCTCTCTCTCTCGCTCTCTCTCTACCCTCGCTCTCTACTCTCTCTCTCTCTCTTTCACCTCTCCCTCCCCCCTTCTCAAAACATGACCGGACATGAACTGACTTAACGCAAACATGACCTGGACATACCTGTGTTGCACCTTATTTTCTTTAATTACAAAATTCCATTGTTGTTTGCGCTTTGTTTAGTATCATTTTCTTATATGTTTTTTTCCGTGTCTGTGAAATTAACTAATATTCATTGGTAAAATGCAAGAAATAATAATAATTATATGATTATGAATGAAAATATGATGAGCATGATACTGATAAAAGAAATGAAGATGATAAAATGGCTAAGAATATTAACGATAAAAATAATATAAAGTAGTAGATGATGTAGTAGTAATACAATAATAATAATATCAATAACAAGAATAATAAGCAAATAATGAAAATGACAAGTGAATAATAATAATGCTAATACCAATATAATAATAATAATAATAATAATAATAATAATAATAATAATAAATAAAACCAACAATAATAATAAACAATATAA